TGGTGCATAAAGTCTAATCTAAAGCACGTATCTCATCGTTACGGGCTAGAAGCCCATGCCGATGCCGGCACGTTCTTCTCTCTTCGACCTCGTAATAACGAGATACCTTCCGTGGCAACGTAGAATAAGAAGCGCTGCTAGCCGGTTGGGAGATAATTAGCATTCCCGTGGAATAAAAAGGTACTTTAACAACTTGTTTACGGCAAAAGACAAAGGAAGCAAAGTCGTAGAACGTCGGTTTGCTGGAAGCGAGTTTGCCTTTAAAGCACGATCAGCCATGTCGGTTAAAAATAGCACCCTCCTTTAATCATTTCTCTTCATCTGACACGCTTAATATATAATATTAATGTATATTTATGAGGAAGAGGGAATGGCAAGGAAGTTATTATTATTAAACATTATTATTAGATGATAAAAATACGCAGGAGCATATCAAGAGAGAATGCTTGAAGTGAGCGAAGGCATTTCGTCCCTCCTTTCTTCGCGTCTACTTTACGATTATGTAATTATGATCACATCGCCGCTCGAAAACGATATGAAAGATACACACGACTCTCTACGGCTTTCCACACATACACACACACACAGTATGACCCAGTATGTTAATACTTTCCCTCTCGTTTTATGTCCTCTCGTTCCTCGCGCGCGCATCGCACCTGCATTATTCTTCACGCACACACACACACACACACACACGTGTCTTCAATGACGAGGTGACAACGGCTCTTTCATCGTTTCTCTCTTCTCCTCTAAGGCAGTCGTGTTATGAATGAAAGAAGAACGTTCGCGTGTTTCTTCTCTTCTTCTTTCTGAACCGCATTCTTCGCGTAACAGCTATCCTGAGTATAGTTTAGCGAACTATGTTTTCAACATTCGCCATTTTTGCGTGTGGAATAATATTTCTTGTTACGCACCGAGAAAAAGGTTCCTTTAAATTTAGCATTTCCATTTATTTGACGAATATTTGTTTTTTGCACAGGCCTACAAAATTAAGGACCCTAAAAGATACAAGAAGAAGAGTAGTCACTTTTTACGTAATTTTGGTCGCTGAATCCGAGTCCGTCAGCGAAAAATGAAACAACGACATTTTCATTCAAACAAAGTGATATTTGCTATTAAATTATATTGTTTATTAAATATATTGAACAAACCCAAGTCAAACAAACGTGTATTAAATCTGAAAAGATCTTTCTCTCTGTGCAGTGACAATGTTACTCATCAATTTCTTTTTACAAATAAAATCCGCCCTCCACGATGAGACGAGAAAGTTATCGGAAGAATAATTCTCAAATATTGCGATAATAAATAGTATTAAACCTGAAATAAACGGGGCAGAGAGAGATCGAACGACAAATTTTCTCCACGCGATTTCCGGACGTTCGCGACTTCTTTTTCTAAATATCGGAATCGTTTTCAGATATTGCATTACACCGTCTGGCGGACCGTTTATTAGGGAACAACGGAGTAAAGAGGATCGATGATACTCCCGAGACTCTAATCCGGGTCTCGTTTCACCAAACCGTAATACTCGATACCAGACCTTGCCTAGGGAATATGTTATCCTCCGTGTGCAAATATCTCGGAACGCTATTTATAAACCGGATCGCCTCGTCACGGCACTCCGTCGATTCAATTAACGTGCTGTTAACGTGTATCTCCACAGCAGCGGTTATGCTTGCTGTCGATGGTTACGCGTCTGGTGCGATACTCCGGCGAGCATGCACGCCGGAATTATGCACGCGATGGCAAAGCAAATGAACTCGAGTGTCCGTGAAGGGCAGAGCGGCGGGCAACAATGGTCATAGCCGGACGGATCCAGAGAGGGTTGGACCTGAAGAGATACTCGTGCGTCGGGGATGCTGAGAGCGCCTGGAGATACGCATAACCGTCCTATTGAGAATTGCGTTTTATCGCTTTATCAATTCTCGTCGATTCCAAGTCGTTTGCGGACTCCCAGTTACATCCTTTTGTCCCTCGGTGTGTCCTTTAATCATTCCAAAAAAGGAAAAGGAGAACGGCGGAAGAATAAATGCCTGGTCAGAACACAAATGTTTGATTCGAGTAAATAATTACTTCAATACTTCTTAGGAAGTTTTTACTTGGACTAAGTAATATTTATTTGGAGGAATTATTCTAATATACTATAGGAGATTTTTATTTGGATCAAGTGAATATTTCACTCGGATAATTCACCTGGAAGAAATTTTACTCGGGTCAAGTAAAATTTACCTTAAATATTACTTGAGCCTTAATTACCTTTATTTCCTTGACTCTTGTAATTTAAATAATAAATAATTTAAGTAATACTTATACTTAAATATTATTTGATCCAAGTAAAATTTACTTAATCCAACTAAAAATTTGCTAAGGAGCGTTAAGGTAATTATTTACTCGAACCTAGCACTTTTTCTTCCATGTAGATCTAATCGCGCGCTAAGCGATACATCGTTACGCTACGTTGGAGCTTGTCTGTCCGCCTCTCGATCGCTCATCATTCGGAAATTATCGCGCCATCGCGACATTGAAACAAACGGTATTCCTCTCGAGACACTCCGGTAACTATAGCCAAGAGAGAGAGAGAGAGAGAGAGAGAGAGAGAGAAAGTGGACGATACTCGAGACGCGTGTCTAGTACACGCACGACACTATATCTCCTATTCATTCAACCAACGACTCGACGTCATAGTGTTTCACGTTGGGATTCGATTTGATCGGCGCGAAACCGCCGCGAAAGCCTCCCGGCCGCTGTCCAACTTTTTAGCAAATTTTTACTTGGACCAAATAACATTTACTTGAAATAATTATTCCGATATACTTTGGGAAATTTCTATCTTGGATCAAGTAAATATTTTACTCGGATAATTTATTAGAAGTACCCATAAATAATAAATCGTTTCTTGCTTATACTTATATAAAATTTTATTTTATTTAACATTTACAGTACGGATTAATCTACGATATAATTCCCATCATTATTGATAATCTTCTTCCATCTCTTGAATGGTTTGCTTGGGATCAGCTTGAATTTCAGCCAACACAAGATGTGTTAAATTCAGTAGATCTTCCGGAATGGTCCGTCGGAAAAATCGAAATCACTGTTTCTAAATTGTCTCGCCGCCGTGAGTTGCCATAACACTTACCGCGGAATTTGCTCGTGGAAGTGAGCTCGCGCGCAAATGAATGCATGAACTGTACGGCAGCGTCGCAGCGACTGGTTTTCTATGCGAGCTGCTTATAAACGCACGGAGGGAGCAAATTTTGTTAGAACGGCAAATGTTTGTCGATATAGTGACAGCGGAAGAAAATTTGTTTAGACAGCAAAAAAGGTGTGTTATGAGTATTAATTGCTCTTTTCTGGATATATATGGACAATTAATGCTCTTAACAAGTATTTCTGCTGTCCAAATCAATCTTTCGCTGTCTAAGCAAATTTATTTTGCTGTCACTAATATTGACAAGCATTTGTCGTTTCAAAAGCAAAATTTGTTTTCTCCGTGCGCGAACGGTAATAGTCGCGAGAGCCACTAGTGAGCCACCTATTTACTCGCTTCCCGCACCCTCCTTTCGTTCCGTGCATACGCACTTCGCGGGCATCGATAAACAAAACGTTCGCGCATCCTACGCGGGCATCGCGTCCACACACGCGTGTGTTGCGCGCGCGCTTTTGAGTATTTGAACGCGAGCATGTTTACCTGTGTGGTCTACCTGTTCCACCTACTCGCAGCTGCGAGTACGCGCGCGTATGGAGAAATAGTCATATCTCAAGATCGTCCGGGTACATCCGGCGATGTAGCGCAGAGTGTTGCGGGTATTGCGAGGAAATTATAAGTTGTGAAAATTACCGCAAAAGTTTCTAATGCTGAAATATATTGGAATTATTATTGAAATTGCTATGTGTGTTGCAACGTTTAATATCCACACAGCCATTGAGAGAAAAATATAGAGCTGCCATACATAATATATGTCTACTATAGCTAAACTCGTAGGTGTCTATACACTAGCTAAGTCTCCGTTGTAACATATGGACACCTGCAAGTTTAGCTACAGTAGATATATATTAGGTATACATATATACACCTAGCAGTAGTGATCTAGCAATACTAATTCAAGTTTTCGTTACAACAGCAAGTTTTCAGCTATAGCAGCGAAACATTTTCCAGCTAAATCATTATATACCGCGGCAGCAACATCTTTTCCCGTGTAAGAAACCGAAAAGTGTGTAGGCATAACACATGTAGGCGTTTGATTCAGAAAATGTTTTTAAATAATTTAACATTCATAATTCATTCATGACACATATGTGCGTCATCGGTAGTCAAGATGTTAAGAATAAGAAAGGAATTCTATTTCTTTCAACCGAAACGCGTTTGGTTTGTTCACTGTCTATTAGTAAACTTAACGAAACTTTTTTTCCGCTAATTGTATCTATGGAAGCTAGTTTCTAACTGTGAAAGCCAATTCTCTTGTCCGTTTTGTAGGGAAGGAGAAGAGAAGGAACTTGCTATCAGGGGCGTGATATCTATATGCCAACTGAAGACGAAGACCATCATCACCGCGAAGAGAGGCGCAACTCGGATACCCCAACACACTGCCAAAGTATCACCTAGTTGGCACCATTTCCGCACGAGCGGAAAATATCTGTATCCCGCTGCCATTGAAGATACATCGCTGACGCGTCTCGATACTCGTCCGAATACGAGACACCTCGATAATATCTCCTCTTCCTCCTTCTCTCGGTACACCACGCGGCAACGTTGACAGCGAAGTCTCGGTAACGTCCCGCCGAGACTATCTCGTTTCACCATCGACAGCGAGATGATATCGGACGCCTGGCTATCTCGTATAAATCGTTAGCGTGGAAACACCGTTAGCCCTGAGAAGAAGCATCCTCGCTTTGCATACTCGCCCTCGCCGGTACGGCGAGCTCTCCGTTTCGTTCAGCAACGTGCCTGCCTGCCCGCTCGCTCGCCTGTCCGCCGGTAGGAGAGGAAAGTGGCGGAGGAGGCGGCGGCGATCTCGGGAGGGCCTTTCGTACTTACTCCCGCGCGATGTTCGGAGCACGCACCGCGTTCTCGGTCTCTTCCGTGCCGCCGGGGTCCCGTCGCGGCTAGGAGCCGCGTTCGGCCGCAGTGTAGTGGCTGCCGCCGCGCGGTAACAGGACGGGGCGGCCGCGCGACGCGTGTTTCCTCGCTTCCTTCTTCCTCTTTTCTCTCGGCGCCGCATTTCGACGACTACGACGAAGCGCCCGCTTCCCCACAGCCGCCGTCCATCCGAGCTTCTCGCTCTCCTCTCCTGGATATCCTCACCTGGAAACCGGTGAAAGTACTCGGGACTGCGTGCACGCGTCCGTGCGTGCGTGCGTGCGCGCGTCCGATGAACTCCACGTGGTGCGCGACCTAAGGATCCGTTCGCTCTCTCTCCCCTGCGTTAGGAGGACGTCCTCTTGCCGGAACGCGCCGAGTCGCCACGCTGATAGACGAGGGAGAAACATGAGACCGTTCGTGGGTCCCCTGCTCGGCAGGCTGTTGCCGCTCTTGGTCTCGCTGTTTCTCCTCGCAACCGCGGGCCCCTCCAGAGCCTCCTTCGAGAAACCGGCCGAATGCCCGCAGAGATGCGTGTGCTTCCGCGACCTGCTCACCGTGCGGTGCATACTCCTGAAGCTGAGCCGGGTGCCCCGGGTGGCCGATAACACCACCGTTCTGTAAGTTGTCTCTCGCCGCCGACCACGGACTCGATCGCACGCAATCTCGCTGGTGACACGGAGAAAGTGTTGCGGTATGAAAGATTGTTATGCCGGAATTATCGTCGGGATTATTACGCGTGTTCGTAATCTTACGTGTGTTCTGTAATCTTCGGTGATGATGACGGGAAGAAGGAATTAGATGTTCATATGACACGACTGAGACTTAATTACCAGGCCTGGACTGCTAGCTAAAAACTGAGTACAGGGACAAAAAGAATTAGCTAAATTAACGGAATTTTAGTTATACGTATTAAAAAACAATTCGGCTGAATTAACGAGACAGTGGGCGAGCCAAACGTTTTTTGGTTGAGGGAAACAGAATTTCTGGTTATAAGAACTAAATTAAGGATGAGAAAGGAATTCTGTTTCCTTCGACCAAAACGCGTTTGGTTTCTTCGCTGTCTAGTAAATTTAACTAAACTTTTTCCCGCTAATTTCTAGCTATGGGAACTAGCTTTTAGCTGGGAGAGCTAATATATTAGAGCGAATATTACATTTCATTATGTATTATACTGTATGTATTATATTTCAATTGATAGCTAATTTTCACCTGCAGGAGCTCATTTTCGCAAAGACTATAACAATCCTCCATATTCGCAAAGACTATAACAAGCCTCCATATTCGCAAAGACTATAACAAATATCATAATTTCAGTCATAATTCTGGTATGATTCGGTATTCCAAAAATTTTGCGATAATCTTTACTACAATATTTCCTCCGTGTATAAAACGTACCATGACATGCCTCAGTCACTTGCAACGGGTGAGAGAAATTGTTGTGAATGAAACATCCGTTGGATGATCGCAAATCCGTCGCAAACGACAAGCGTGTGCCACATTGTATATTTTCAATCGGTGAACAATCACTCTCAATTATTTGCCGCAATTCGTACCGTAATCGTGAGATGAGCGAATAATCGAGGATAAGCGAGGAGCACTTTTGCTCTTGGAGTATTTCACACGTGTTTTGTGAAAGTTTGGAGCCCGCACAGGTGATAAAAATATACAATGACCGATGCTTGGGCGAAGATAATCAACGCTAGTGATATTACTGGGCGATAAAAGGTCAAGAGAAAGCGCATTAAGATTCATGTTCGCTTACGGGAAAGATACTAATCAAGACGTACGATCATCCCGGTTAAGAAGATCGAGACTGACACGGCTCTTTCTCACGTGGATGCGCTCGCTCCTCGTGCCGCTGGACAAAGAAGGATTAACATCGCGTTTCTTTAACTAAGCTAAGAATTTGCCGTAAGAATCGGCTCTATCCCTGGAGCTGAATTGATGATGGCTGCGCACAATAATTACGTAGCGATTAATCATGCAGCGATAACCTGCAAGTAAGGTGCGAAGTATCGATTAAGAGATAAGGGAGCTGTTTATTTAATAGAACACAGGATCTTACGTTGGCACACAGGAGAAAGAAATTAGCTCCATACAATGCAACTGAAATGTATACTATTTATTATTATACTTATTATATCAAATGTATATTTAGAATTTACACTTATTTATACTTATTACATTAAATACCACAACCAAATCTCATCTACTTAATTACCAAATCTTAGTTTTTAGCTGTGGGAGCTGAAAACCAGGAACGGAAAAAATTAGCTAGATGAATTAAATTTCAGTTGTACTACACGGAGAAAACAAATTTTGCTGGAACAGCAAATGTTTGTCAATATAGTGACAACAAAGAAAAAATTTCTTCAAACAGTGAAAAATTTGCTGTTAATTGCTATTTAGTATTATTTACTATTTGCTATTTAGTATTAATTGCTGTTCGCCGAATATATAGACAATTAATACTCTTAACAAATCTTTCAGCTATCCAAACAATTTTTTTTTGCTGTTACTATATTGACAAACATTTGCCGTTCCAGCAAAATTGGTTTTCTCCGTATACACGGACAGCTAATTTTTACCGGCGGAAGTTAATTTTCTCTCCGTTGCGTTGGAGCTTGCGTCGGCACTCGAGCTAAATTGCAGTAATCGCTATAATTCATAGTAATCACGCGACGATAATTAGATCCGGCTGCTACTGGTGAGTGTAAATTATTGATTTGGAGCGGGGAAGATTAGCAAAAGGAAAAGTCGCCGGGCGCTTAGGATACTATTTATATATAAGTTGCCCGAGCGCTAAAGCGGAGGTTCAGAGAAAGGAACAAAGGAGAATGGAGCTAAGCGGTACGATCTTGACGTGTGCAAAGCCACGATCCCGGCCGATATTCTGAGAGCGAAATATCTGCGATGTTCTGTGCATTACTGCCGAGTTATTTCTCCGACGGAGAGAAATGTGGCGCAAAACGCCGCGGACAAAGAGACGAGACGGCGAAACGAATATATCGGCCGGTCAATTTACGATTCCGTGAATCACACAGGATGATAATTACACTTATCGCAGTGTGATAAGCGTAATTGCTACTGTGTTTAGCTTGATGCGACGCGTCATATCGCTAAATCGCGTCATATAATCGCCTTATTTTTAATTATTTTCTTCCCCGCAAATCGCGATCTCCGACGTTATGTAACTTATTTGTCTTACGAGGAGTGAGATATAAGTAAGCGAGTTACGCTCTGCTATTTATTAATCTTACCTTTTGGTACAACCGTTGAGAGGAATCGGTGTCGTTTCTCCGAAAAGAATTATTTCGTCCACCGTAGGTCAGCAATTAACCGTGACCTATTCCGCGCGCGCGATTACATGACGTGGATCATTGTAATCTTAGAGCATATTGTGTGTGTGTGCGCGACCCATTTAGAGATATACTTATTTCTCACGTACACGTTTCATTTTTTTATGTCTCTTCAACACACACACACACATACATGCTGGGGATGCGCGTCAAGATGTAATATGTCATGAGAAAATAATTTATAAGATAAAACCCGTTTTAATCACGCTGCGAGAAATCACGCTGTATTGTCTCTAGTGAAATTATCTCATTAATAATTAAATTTCTCTTTCCTCTTCTATGAAAAACACTTTGCAAATCTTTTCTTATCAAATACTTCTTCTAGTTTATGTTCGCGTGCAGGGAAAAGAAAATTCTACCAGAACAGCAAATTGTTTGCTAATATAGTGATAGCAGACATAATTTCTTTGGACAGAAAAAAGATTAAGATTGTTAAAAGTATTAATTGCTACTTGCTGGATGCATGGACGGCAAAATAGTCTGGTTGTGCCAACTAAATTTTATTCCCGTCGCAACGTCTCGCTACGACAGCAAAATTATTTTTTCCGAATTTTTCTGCTGGCCACAAACAATTTGCCGTCCCGGCAAAACTTGTTTTTTCCGTGTACTTTTGCAATGTAAAAACATTGGAACGTAAAATAACAAAGTAGAGTAAGTAAATAACAAGTAGAGATAACTGGCACACCTCTCTTCCTTCTGAAATAACGACTGTCTCAAATTGATTAGCTCGAGAATTGCGAAATGAACGAAGCGACAACGCGTGAACTGAAAGCTCGACTCGCTGATATTATTAATTTCGTGCTCATCGCTCATGCGGTGATGAAGTTTTCTTGAAACAATGATCGAGCCGACGTTTCAGACATCTCTCTGCACATATATGTATTATAACGTGACTCATGTGAGCCGAAGACGATCTCTCAGTGTTGAATCCTCTCTCTCCTTGCGCCATCCTGCGTGCAAATGCTCTCACAGCTTACGTTGCTGCCCGTCCGCTATTTCCGTGCTGATGAGCTGATCGATTGCCGGTCCATATTTATGCGATTACACTATCCAATCCGCGAGATCCGGAGGCTTTGTTTAAACTAAGGACAAAAGATCTTCCGACGTTTGCCAACTTTCGCCCTGGAAATGTGAGAATGCCAAACGGCGTAAATGTTCGTTTCTATAAAGCGCGTGAGAAGCTCACCGCTCGACCGTCATTACTTGCGCGATGCGTTGCGCAAAATTCCGAGATTAAGAAACCAGCGAGCGGCTGAGCGTGACACAAACGACGTCATCCACGAACGATAAGCCGGACGCATTATCGAAATTGTGTTTCCCTTTGGCTCAGTGCGACGGCTTAATTACGTTTGAATGAAGGTGACTTTGCGCAAAGCGTTAATTAACCAACGCACATTAATTACATCGAATGAATTTTAAATGGATGACTTCGTAATAACAACCGACCGGCGGAATAACCTTAACACGCGCATGTAGTAACTAGGTCACCGGTATTTTCTAACTCGGGATATTATAACGTGTTAAAGCCGTCACGAGACGGCTCATCGCTTTGATACATTCCCGCTTCTCCGAATAAATGTGCGCGCCGCTAGAAAATCCCAACAACCCGATTAAAGCTATTCCAACGGTTACGTATACACCAAACATCCGTTCCGGTTTGGCTTTCGCTGATTTATCATTTGTCTCTCCAATAAGGTTGACGTCTAATGAGAACCGAGTCGAAGTATGCATTTCGACCGAACACGTACATTTCGTGTATCATCAAGATAAGGTCTCCTTTAAATATATCGCATGACGCTTTGTTTTATCACGAGACGGTCGTGTTGTTCATTTCTTCTTTCTCTTCCTCTTTTTAACAGATAAAGCTAACCTTTATTCGAGCGTTATTTCTTAGATCGCGGATCACGTCATGCGGCGCGTCTTGTCTCGCTATTCTGACGTATCCAGTTTCGCGGCTAAAGCCTATCAATTTGCGAACCTCTAAAATTACGGCGAAATAAGCAGTGGTCGGCCGATGATCGATGGAATACCCATTAACGGACGTTGACGTTGAATATTGAGTAACTTTAACTATCCGTCTTGGGCATCGCTGAATAAATATATACTTGTCTGGCGATATAGACCGCGATATCCGCCGAGATATCGTCTCCTGCCTGTAATCTTTGATTACACGTAAGGTACACCGTACGCGCAAAACGCCCGCCGTAAAAAGTCGCGGCCAGAAAGAGCAGGCCAGAAATTATGCTCGCCCGCCGGCCCGCTCGATTAAACCGTTTCCGCACTCTAACATTAGGCGACGATAGTGTGCCATTGTGTAGTTATTCAAATCCGATTAGAAAATGTGCGACCTTCAGTGATTTTTGATATTTCGTTTGACGCACGATAATGGAAAGTTCTCTCTGACGGTGCGCAAAAACGTTCGTTATATGCTGGAAAGTTGTACGTGTTTGATAATGAAACACAATCGTGTTGCTCTGTTCTATTTAAAAATTATTAATTATTGCTTATTAATTAAAAAATTATTACTTATTATATACATATATATATATATATATGATATTAATTAGTTTATAAATTAATTCATATCATTATTAATTAAGGCTAGAAATTATATTCGAAGCTTCGAAACTTCAAATTTCTGAATCCTCGACACATTATATTCGAATAATGAAATGTTGTTGAAGTGTGAAAATTCGAACATTCGGATATTCGAATATTCGAAACTTGAAGAATTGAAAAGTGTTTGTTTTATAGGCATAGTAAATAGTATTTATTGTCCTAAAGAATATAATTTTTTCTTGCATTGCGTTATGTTGTAACATATGGCGATATTTGGGTTTATTTTAAAATTAATCAGACTTATTGTTTATTATTTGTGCTTTCTTCATTCACGTTGTTTTAAACTAGACAAATAAAAATCTCAAAATCGAACTAGAGATACCTATTTAAATCAACACTCTCTAATTGCATAGTATTTTGTTGCACTCTCAAAAATTAATTCTATTAATAGTTTCGATACTTTGAATTTCCAAACTTCGTCGTCGAATGTCGAATTATATTAAAGTTTCGAAGCTTCGAAAATGTCGAATAATATATTATTAATATTTATATTATTAGTAACACATTAATTTACAAATTATTTCAAACAACTTGCGTATTTTTTAATTCATTTCGTCATTCGCGGAATGACATGTCGAAATCACTGTCGCCCACGACGTCTATTTTTATCTGCGAGAGCCACTCTGAGATGCACGAGATAACTCAACGTAATCATCCGCGGGAGGATGCAGATTCGCATTTCACGGATGAGGACAGATGCTGTCATCGTTATAATTTCACATATTCGTGCACGTTCTCGATGAATCGAAGAATCGAGTTCGACGAAATCCGCGCGGTTCGCGAACCGGGACTTCAGAAGAGGAGAGATTGATTCTGTTCCCGGAACAGCGCTCCCATTTGTCTTCCACCCGCCGTTATTAATCGTCGTTAATTCGCTCGCGATCGCCGTTATTAAATGCGAGCCTTTCAATCGCCGTCGTCGTAATGCCGCATTAATCAAGCCGACGCCGCCGATACTCGCACGCGTCGACGCATTTCTAACGACGGAGAAACGTCGAAGCCGGCCCTATAAATAAATACGATGTCGAAGTACGTGCGTATCCGTGAGGAAGCGGGAGCACGTAAGTGCGAGAACTCGGTTTTCACGAAGGAATTTCTCACCCGTCCGGAATTTGTTACGCGAGCGAAGGCGTGCGAATGAATCCGGCAATTGCGACGACGAAGAGAGTCGATCTCGGATTCAAGCTCGCGATCCTGGCATTACGTTCCAACCAAGCTCCGCTTGGTGTTCACACCGAACAATTTTTATCCTAAAAAACGCAAGATTACTGCGTTATCTCTCTCTCTCTGTCTCCCATCGGCGATCGAGTCGCGTTCTTATTTCACCTCCTTGAGAAATTACATACGTACGTAACGCGCGCACGAAATGCAAGTTACCGCGCGTGGAAACAGGCGTCATTACTTACTCGTTGTGTTGCGCTCATTTAATAGCTCATTGCCCCTCAACGATAAGTCGGGGACTTAGGTGGCGCGACTTTAACAAGTCGCGATAATAAAACCGGTCATACCCGCCCGCCCGACCGGTAATGGCCGTCCGTATTTATCAACACTGCGCGCAACCGCTCCCATAATTTCTGAAAAAAAAAAAATGGGAAAGCACCACATTGTGGGCAATTACCGCCAGTTACGAGTCCGGGCTTCTTCTACTTCCCACCCCCTGCCTCCCCGCTCCCCTTGGCACGCGTGTGTGCCCGTGCCGGAGATTCGCCGGCGCGATAAAAGGAAGTTAAAATACCGGGTCGGGTCGAGCGCGAGAACAGTTGAGGCAGTAATTTAGAAAGGAAGTAAAGTGCAACGAGTCGAATGAAATTGTTAATTGGAAGAGCTTTCCGCGATAAACGGCGGAATAGATATCTTCGCAGCGCGCCGCGCCGCGCCCTCGTCATAATTGTGCGGTTGCGCAACGCCTTTTACGAGCTCGATGAATTTCCGAGTCTCCGATTCCGGGCATCTCCCCCCCCCCCCCCCCCCCC